ACACGCACACGCACACGCACACGCACACGCACACACACACGCAGACACATACACACATCTACATGCACACTCACACACACATACACGTACGCTCACATACACGAAAAGTTATTGGGCGGAGGTGTCGCACGAGCACCTGTGGTGTAGCGATTAGGCACTTCTCTGTCACATGCAAGAGACTGGTGCACTTACGAGTAGTTTAGTAAGAGTTGTACGGCACTTGCAACACAATAAGGTCATATACATGCCGAAGATTAGAGGTGTTACAAGGGTGTAACATACACAAAAAAAAGGAGGGGAGATACGGACGACAGATGTTTGATAGGAAAGAAGGAGTAAACCACACCAACACACCCGACAACCATTCACAGACTGGAGTCCGTTATTTAAGTGCGGATAAATTTTCTGTCTTCTTATGGGATTTTGGACCCCTTTCAGCCAGGCTTGGAAGCCCCCTTCCTACATCAAGATCTAAATTGTGTTGATAGGGGACGTAAAAAATCTTCATTTAACAAAAATATGTAATAATACAAAAAACACCAAACAAACAAACAAACTAACAAACAACAAAAGAAAAACAACGAACAACTCCCCCCCCCCCCAACAAACTTCTCCCTGAACTGTCTACTGTTTTCAGATATGTTTTACGCCAGTCTTCAAGTGGACGGGGGCTCACCCATTGCCCTGCCGACTGACCAAGACGTGTCTGTGAGTAACACAGGGAATGTGACCCTCAAGTTCTGTATGGCGAACTTGCAACCTGGGTACAGCCTCACGATGAGCATGGCTGGTCAGACGCAAACACCGACGGCTGTGTAGACCTCTCAGTGACACGGCCTATCACAGCTGAGAACGCCGCACTTTCTTTTGTCGAGACTGCTGGCTGTGGGCTGGCCAGGACTTTCATGGTCTTCCTTAAGGCTTGATGCGGGGGACATTTTGAAATTCGTTAAGAAGAAGAAACTAAGCTTACAAATGTGGTAGCATCAATATAAATAAAGTGGAGAATTATTAAGTCATGAAGTAAAATTTTGACAATGCTTTTGTGTTGCTCTGGTAACGGCTGCCATATTGGAATCTCATATATAGAAAATGTACGTATTATTTCTAAAAAAATATATCATAAGGTTACAAATAATTTTAAAATGTTACAAAATGTGATTTTGCAGCCTTCTGTGTCTGTTTTGCTGTTGGAGGACAGGACAAACTTTTTTCAGAATTGAGGTCGAAAATAGGGGTACATTTTGACCACAAAAATCTCAGATCATAACAACGGATTACATTTATAATATAATCATTTATTCAAGATTCATTTTGACGTTTTTACTTGTTACACTAGAATAATGTTTCATATATCAGCATACAAAAAATTATGAAAATGTCCTAACAAATTTTCGAATGATAGATTTTTGCGTTCCCACCTCCCTTGAAAAAAGCCCAATTTTAGAGATAAAAAAGCCCAGTAAGTTTTGACGTGAAAAATTGACTGAAAACGTAGTTATACAGTGGCGTCCAAAAGAAACTTGAAAATGTAATCACCAAGTCATCGTGTTAAAGCCTTGCATTACCCACTCATGCAGCGTACCAATTTTAA